CCCGGACAGCGGCGCTGACGATGTGCAGAAAACAGCCAGTCGTGGATTACATCACTCCCGCTGCGTACATTCCAACACGCTCGACAAAAACAATGGAGCAGGTTCAGGGAAAGGAGGTTCGGGCTTTTCGCCCACATGGTACGATGGTCAGTACTGCTAGCTAACACATTGGCGGCTGCTGAGACGCCCATCAAAATAAAACAAAAATCACTTTTCATAACTCGTGCTTCGCAAGATAAAAAAAAAGTGAGGGAAGCAGAGTACAACAGCTTAACGCCTCAATTCACCTAATTGTGCCACGTGCGACAGGCAGCTGCGGAGAGCCTTAGGCCTAATGAGTCGCTGGGCAACAGCCGGCATCCACCCAGCACCCAGCCTAGGCGCAGAAGAGGTAGCCGCAAGGACACATCCACTCTGTGAGGTGGCCCTATCGCTCGCCGCACAGAGCAGCTTACCGAGCAATCGGCGTCCACCGCCTCGGGGTGTGTCACGACGCCCCGGCGTGAGCCGCAATACAAGACAGCAACGACGCCCGGCTCCCTGAGCCCAAAGAGATAGAAGAAGCTATTTACAGAAAATCGTACCACCCATGAGGCTTCCTTACTCACTCGCTTCGGGCCTGGCCTACAAACCACGTGCTCTAAGCCTTGCTCACCCCAGGATGCAGACCGCATGGCTCTCGTCCCAATTCAACAACGGTTTTTAAAAACTAACATCAACAAAAAAGAACAACACTTGGGAGCAAAAAAAAATAAAAACTCAACCTGCTTGCAAATTCAAACACGTTACAAACCGGTCTCCTTGCTTCTCAAGAAAGCATACCGCCGGCGCTAGCAATGAGAAGTCCCCCCTAGGCCTACTCTTCCCCGGCTCAAACAAAAAATTGTACCGAACCACAAAAAGTGTCCTCCAATACTCCAAAAGCACCACGTTGGGCGCCAGTGTGTGGTCTCGATGTGGCGAGCGAGCGCTACGCCGCGCTCTTGGAGTTAACGAACACAGCATACACGGTCAGAATAAACCAAACAGTACACACATTTATTTAACTAATTTAGAACGATGATATCGTCCGCCGAATCGATAAATCAATCGTGATCAACACGCTGGGACATTCTTACACTATATTACTCAGCACGTAGCAACATAACAAACACAAGAGCACACAAAAGGCGGCGTTGCCAACGCTTCACTCACCACGTGGGCCTACCGCAGGCGGCCTGCGGTGCCGTCCACGGCAGACCCACTGCGAGAGACAACCGTTCGCGCAAAACGCCACCAGCCGAAGAGACTCGCTCAACTCTCTCGCCCATCACCAAGGCTTCCCTTCTGCCAGGGGTCACCGCCGGTGCTACTGCTCTACCAACCATGATGGTGATAGCGGTGATCACTGCTATCGAACACAACGCCACCTATCGCCCAATAGTTGCCACCCCCAAAATATGGCTTCTGTACAAGACACGTGCGCCACGCGGCGAAAACAACTTTACAGGGGGTGTCAGCACCCTCACAAATGTGTAAATATTTGTACAAGCCTACATTTTAAAAGCAGAGCTGTGCAAATAGCAAAACTTTGTTTGTGAAGGGAATTCTCATAATGTAGTTTGAGTGTTTGTCGAATTGAGTAATTTTGTAATATTTTTTAATTATTCGAAGCCAGCATATAGAGGAAAAATAAAAAGGATCCCAAAGTATTGTTACGAGATAGGAACTTGAAATCTTTTTGTTGGCTAGGTGGATGAAAAACTGGAGGTGTGCTGCTAAGTCACGTTTCCTAGATATATAAATAATGAAGAAATGTGGAGGCTGAATTGTTTTTATTTACAAAATTTGGTATGGCCAAAGTGGTTTCGACAACACTTTACTTGTTGATGCCAGCGTCAATGTCGGTCTGTAGTAAAGGTCATGTGTTTTTCACGTATAATTTTTGCCGACAGCGGTTGAGTACGTGCTTACATAAACCAGGCCAAGTAAAGCGTCAAGATGTGGAAAAAAGTACTCTCCCTGTTTGCAAACAGTGTGACATCACTGCGAGCATCGCGCCCACCATTCCCTTCCTCGGCGCCAAGAAAGTTCCGCCTATGGTATCTGTCTGCATTGCAGGGCTGTGTGTGTCTGTATTCTTCCGACAGGAATTTCGGCAAATTGTTGTTTTTCTAAAACCACTAAAAGGAAGGGTGACCGCCTATAATGCCCGGTTCTATTAGCTTAACATGCGGCGATTTGCTCGTCGTAGATGGCAGGCATTAAAAAAATATATATATATTTTTTCTCATGAAACAAATCCTCGTGAAAATGAAGTGAGGTTGTTGGCGACGGTCCTCATAGCCTACTGAAACTTTATGCGATTTTAAACATGACATTTAATTATATACATAATCATCTGCGCAGTTATATCACAGCATCTGACGCCTAAAAGGTATTAGCATACTTACATTGCTCCTTTAAGACGTGCACATTGTCACTTCATAAATATTGAGCCGTAAAGGTAAGGAGTACATGCGAAACAAGAACATCCGCTTTTTACATGAAGACATATGAGGCCTCTGATAATACGATTTATACTTTTATTGTGCTCTTGTACTGGGTATTGGATTTGCGGCAATGGTAAAAATTCTTATTAGTCGTATCTTTCAACCCGGAGATTATGCTTTCTTTTCTGCACACAACACAAACACTGAAATGTACCCACTTGCACATGATTGCGCCAAATGCGTATTTGATTGTGTCAAATGCGTCAAATGACTGAAATGTCAAATCGTGAAATTCCATCGACAAACGGTTGCTGCCACCGGTCCACAACGAGTGCCAATGTTTTTGCAAACAAATCGCATCGTTATTCACACTGCACACACCACACGCAATATTCTCAGTTTCACCATCCGTAAAGGTGAACTAATAGTATTGTCAATGCCTTTCAATGAACACTGCGCACCACAATCAGTACTCCACATCTTCGAAGACGATGCCGCTGTTCCTCACACAGGCCACCACAGGTGCTCACTTCAAGATGAACAGCCAGCCAGCATGGCAAATATTTCATCACGCAGTTTACCACACAGCTAGATCTTCTCCGACACATACTAGAGCCAGTTTCACCTCAGTCACACAGCTAGATCTTCTTCGACACATACTAGAGCCAGTTTCACCTCAGTAACAAGAAGTAATCTTCCACTAACCCTCAAGAAGAAGTTTTATAACAGCTGCATATCTTGCTGGTACTTACCTACAGAGCGAAAATCTGGAAGCTTACAAAGAGGGTTCAGCTTAAATTGAGGTCGACGCAGCGAGCGATGAGAAGGAAAATGTTAGGTGTGACCTTAAGAGACAAAAAGAGAGCAGAGTGGGTCAGGGGTTAAGGATATCGTAGTTGAAATTAAAAAGTAGAAACGGACATGGGCCGGGCACGTAGGCAAAATAACCACTGGTCATTAGGGGAACTGACTGGATTTTCAGAGAAAGCAAGCAGGTCAGGGGGAGACAGAAAGTTAGGTGGGCAGATGAGATTAAGAATTTTGGGAGTATAAAGTGGCAGCAGCAAGCACAAGATTGGGTTTATTGGCAGATCATGGGAGAGGCCTTTGCCCTGCAGTGGGCGTAGTCAGGCTGATGATAATGAACATTAAATTTAAGCTTTCAAAAAAAAAAAAAATGTGCCCCAAACACCACACCTCTGTACCGCGCTGAGCCACCAATGGGGGTGTTCTGCCCACCACACCTTGCACGTGTGCCAGTGACGTCACGCTGCGGCATACCACGGTAGAGGTCTATTCTTTTTGTATGGCAGCCTCTACATGTGGTGGCAACGCACCATATGCTGAGTGAAAATGAGACTGCTGTGAGCTGTCCTGTAGTGATGTAGGTCACATAACGTGCAGTATTGCCACGAGCATGGACAACTTGATATTTCGCCATTCTTCAGGTGATAATAATGAATTTCATTTCTCACTGATTTCGCGGTGCTAAGACATCATCCGGGAAGCATGTTTTGCAAAGCGAGTCAATCGAGTATGAAACCGAATTGATGTTTGCTGCATTAGCAACATCCGATATAGTAGATATCGGTTGTGCCTAGTATCTTGGATAGTTTTACTTTTTCAGTATGTACGTCTTCAGTAATGACAATGAATAGGCGCGCAGAATATTTTGAGTGGTTTGGCTATGAAAGCTTAAGGCCGAATTGGTCACGAGGAGCTTAGTTCATGTTGTTGTTTCGTTCAGTAAAACTTCAGTTGAAAGTCAGTGCTGTGCCGTGTGTTCCCTTCTTTTCACTGTTCACATTAGCCGTGCCAAGGTGAATGTATACCAACTCGCTAAGTAGGCCATACTGCATCACACACGTTCAAGGGCTGTCATGGTTTGGCCAGTGAAAAAGGAGCAAAGCACAACATGATAATGTATGCAAGTGTGGTGTGCAGAGTGCAGTGCCAAGGCGTCTCGATGATGAGGAGGGAGGAGCATGGCTTGTGCCATGGAAGAAAGCCCGGCGGCATGACTATGGCCGCCATGCTGCCATTTAGCTGTGGTCCTTGGCAATGGAGCTATGTGGGAACGCCACAACTTGCTAGCTAAAGAATAAGGTACAAGGGGTAGGGGTTGTCAATGCTCAAAGATGTTAGTCTCGGTGGTATTCTGGGCTTTCCTAAATGTGTTCGTTTCCTGTGAAAGCACTTCCAGTGCTCATATTTAATGTATTTCATGTTTATCATTTTGTGTAGTGTAAAGTTGCTTTTATAGGATGTACAAAAATGCTCACTCGTAATAAGCTTTTGCTTATGACAACACTTGCTCTGACAACACAAGAAATCGTGATTTGAAGAAATGTTCTGTTCTGCCCGAATTTTTCAAACTGTAGACCTGAAAACTAAGATTTGCGTTTGCTTTTTGTTTGGTTCTATAAGGCTGGTTGCTGGGGACTTTACTCTGAGTGTATGCCGAAGTTGGCGCTTACGTTTATTTCTGCACTATTGGCCTGCTAAATACTAAAGAGTCCTTGTGTCCAGGTGCTTGCCATGTTTGCTGAATCCCTCAAGCAGGGCCTGCTCAGTGGTCATGAGGACATTGGCACACTGGTTGCGCTCAGCAGCTTACTCAAGCAGCGTCATGCTGAACTGCTACAAGACATTCAAGGTGAGGAAGGAAACGTGTAGAGCACTTAAGAGGGGGGATGCAGAACGGTCAATTTGGTCAAAGTTATCGATTTCTGGATATTTTTTTGCAATCCTTGGATCTTCTTTTACCTCGTGGTAAAATATTATAATGATCTACGAGGTAGTAATCGAGAAAACACCGCTTCATCAGTCTGTTATCGTCAAAAATTGCAAAAAAAATCGCTTTTCAGAAAGTGCCGTCACTAACGCGGCCCTTGCTCGACGTAGCGTTGTCGTCTTTGTATCATTGTGAAGAGGTGAGATTGGAGATCTCACCTCTTCGCAATGCTTCATAATAGCTGCCTTGCCGTATTTCTCCAATGAAAAATATAACCGAGATAAGCGAGCGCAAAAGAGCAAAAATGGCATCGCGATTGGTTGCACTAGTCACGCAAATGCTCATGGTACGCTCTTGTTGGTTGTCTAAGATTTGAATGGCTTTCGCACACATTTGCGCAGGAGAGAGCTGCTCCTGGCTGCTGTACGTTTTGTTCATTCTTGTGTTGATTGCCTGCCCCCATGACGGGCGTGTTCTGGGATGAGCCTTAAAGAAGCGAAGTACTAACGCGTACAAGAAACGGTGAACGCCATGGAATAAAAGGAGAAAACTGAGCACAGAAGCAAACGCCGCTAACCTTACCGGCTAGGAAAGGCTGGCGTATGTAAGAGATAGGAACAGCTCACCCGTGTTTGACTGTGACAGTGCGTCCACGTTCACCGGTTACGACCCTATTGCAGGCTTTGTTGACGTTTCATGCTGCATCGATGATGTGGTCAGCGCTTTGGACGCGCCCATGTGTAGTGTCGACGGCTCCGCGTGTGATGTTGAAGAGTCCACATGCCGAGTTTAAGGGTTCGCGTGTGGTGCTGATGCATCCGCGAGCAGTGGTGACCGCGCTTCTACGAGCAATGGCGATGTGGCATTGGATCCAACTATCACTAATGAAGAGATTGCACGACGAGGAGAAATGCAAGCGGATGCTTTGAATGCATTGTCTGCTACCCTAGCTACAAAAAGAAATTAAAACTTCTAAATGATGGCGAAAGTGGCTATGTTGTTCCGGAGGCATCTTTTTTGTAGCACACAAAGTGATGAATAATCTACTGTCCAGATTTTGGTGGGAAGGGCCCCAGTTCGTTCTGAAACTGGATTTCCTCTTGGGCTAAAATGGAAGTGCTATGTGGCCACTGTAGAAGAATAAGTAAAGAGTGATTTCCAAGGAGAGCTGTTCTCAGCACATTAGCCCGTTTGAAATGAATATTCGTGCAATGAGGGCTGTGCAGTCAGTGGGCAAAAATCATACTGCACTGAAAGATATTTTTTCTCAAATGGGCATTTCTCATAGAAAACTGCATCAGAAGTCGTACTGGAGGCTACACTGCAAGCGTAGCCACCCTGCCACTGCACGTGCTGCAACAGGAATAGAGGCTACAAGGGCAGACAAGGTGCATAAAATATATGGGGACTTCGTATGTGCCCCAGGGAACATTGATGTCATTTATGATGGCACATGGATGACAATGGACCACACAAGTCACATTGGTGTTGGCTGTGTTGTGTTGTACTCTGGCCTGGTCTTGGGCCAGTGTGTTCTCTCTAACTACAGTCATGGCTGTGCTCTTGGACTAAAACCTCAAGACGATGGATACGGCGAGTAGAATGAGAAACACGAACCACAGTGCCATAAGAACACAGAGGCACATGCCGGCCAGACGGACACTATTACGGCAAAGAACATGTTTAGCGGTTGCTTCAAGAACACCAGCTCCGCTACACGAATATACTTTGTGACAGTGATAGCCGCACCTACACTAGCCTCAGTGAGGATGATGCGTATGGCTTCATACCCACACAAAATCAAGAATCTGTAAACCACATGAAAAAAGAAAGAATGGGCACAACTTCACGAAGCCTAGTTAAAAAAGACAAAAGCAAGGACCGAGAACTCAGCATAAGTGGAAGAGGTTGCCTCACACACGGCTCACTTAAAAAGCTGACTAACTGTTATGAATAGGTCATAAAAACTAGTCCCAATGATGTGCCTGCCATGGAAAAGGCCATCATGGCTGCTTTTCATCACGTCACACATATTGATAACAAGCCACACCATGAGCACTGCCCTACTGGTGTGCAAAACTGCGTTTTGGCCTAGTTGGAGTATATCCGTCTTGAAATTTTTCTGCAAGCACACAGGGACACAGAAGAGAACACAAACAGGTACTCGATTGTGTTCTCCTCTGTGTCCTTATGTGCTTGCGCAGAAATTTCAAGATGGCTACTGGTGTGAACTCAGGGTGCAAGTTTAATGCTGCGGCAGCCTCTGGGGGAAGCAGCGCCTGTACACAAGATGCAGCTCTCTACTCATATTCGGGCAGCACTCCTGCCTATATACAAGTGCCTTTCTACAAGGGAACTTCTGGAAAGATGCCAGCCAAGCACAACCCAGAATGCCATTAAGGCTCAACAATGTGATTTGGTCACTCCAGTTAAACTTCGCCTCTCTTCTGAGTGTTAAGAGTCCTGGGGCAAATGCAGTTTGCCATTTTAATGCTGGCTGTGGAGAAGCACTGCAAGAGATTACACCACAACTTAATTACTCTCCAGGATTGTGCTCCTTCCGGTGGGCTGGTGAAAAAGATGCATGGTGCGTCAAAAAGTCAACCAAAGTGCACATAACTGCTAAAGCGAAAAACTGAGTTGAAATCAAAATAAAATGCATCTACAGAGACAGAGCACTACATCCCAAGTGCATTATAGGTGCTCAATGTTAAAAATTCACCACTTCTATAAAATAAAACTTTGAGCTTCATTTTTTCAGCTTCCATTTTTTATGCAGTTACTGTCAGTCATCCCAGTGCTACTTTATAACCAATGAATCTAGAGCTATTTTGTTTCTTGCACTTAGATCCTGAAACATTGGTGAGCACTGTAATGCTATTCATTTTTCTTTGCTCATTATAAAAAATTTATTATTGTATTTTTTCAAAAGATGTTGATAAGGAAGTATGATTACGAGAGTTCAGAAATTTTTTTAGGGCTAGTTTAGACCTTCAAAAATAAATCAATAGCGCTAAGACGTGCAGTGGGCCTTGCTGAATCTGCTTAAGCAAATATGCTACCCAAATTATGTCTAATTAACAAATTAATATGGGGTTGAATGTAAAGATTGATTATAAAAATGTTAAGTGTCATAACTCAAAAACTATGAAACCTATCTTGAAACTGATTTCATTAATTATGAAATCATTGCATAACAAGTAATTGCATAACAAATCACATTAATGTGCCAGGTTTCATCAACTTATTCGGTTAAATAACTGACGTAAACTGTTGTTGGCAACTCTTTGGTTGCACCAAATTGTGTATTTATGTACAATTTGGCCTCTGCATTGCCTTATTCTTGATAAGATATCTATGAAGCATTACCCATCAAGCGCCTCATCAACCTAGCCAAAAGAAACCTGTTTAGTTTGGTATTTGATAAGAATATGCTTAGGAAACCTCTCCAATTTTTTTCCCTGCAATTTTTCAGAGAAGTATTCGAAAATTTTTTTATAAATATTCTAAAAATATTTGATTTAATTTGCACTGACGCTTTAATATTTGAATTCACTTCATGCCCAAAATTTCGCTATTTGCACAGCCCGAATTGTTTCCACTTGTCTTGAAAACCATGCATTTTTTGTTACTGTCAGTTGTAGTGCTAGTTGTAACTTTTTTGCTTGACCTTGTGTTGCTTCGTGATGCTAAAACGTTGCTAAGCTGCTCATTTATATTCTCTACTTCGTGCTGGTGCAAGCATGCTGCAAACTTGGCATATTAGTTTTTTTTACGCATTGCACTTTTCGGCCAAAAATGGGCTCTAGGCCAGCATTGCCTTGGTGCCTTTCTGACGTTACCATGCGATTGCATTGCTCTTTTTGAATTGAGGCTGTCGTGTGAAGGTTGTTTTCAAATTTTGTGTGCTTGCTCACATTGCTGCCTTGCATGTGCGCAGGGAAGCTGTTCTTTTCGGAGATGGCTGTCTCGAGTCCCCTGCACCAGCTGCTTGTGGTTCTCTTTGAGCAAGCCAGGTCCTCTCACAAGCAGGTGGGTGCACACGAGGACATTTATGCCGGAGCACGCCTGCTTGCAACACATCATTTTTTAAAGTCGTGCGACCCCATAGAGATGGATGACTAAAGTGACTATGTGAAAGCTTCACAATTGCTTCACATTCCTGTGGATGCTCTCTGGCCCTCTTGTTAACCTTTTCCATGAGGAAAAACGCAGTCCTGTCTGTCTGTGGAAGATAGTCTTGATTTGGCATCCCTTTCTCAAGCCGCCATGCACAGTGATTTTCCTCTGTCCTTGACGCGCTCGCTTGTCACTGTAAATGAAATTAACTCTCTGCTGTAGCTACATGGTATGTTCTACACGTAAAAAGGTAAAACCTCATTAACATGCTTGTAACACAGCATAAATATGCACAAAACTGTTGTATGCAATAATTGTAAAGTATTAATGTTTTTTTCTTCTGATGTGTGCTACACCTATAAGCAGTGAGGTAAACGCAACACCATAATAAATGTTGCCTGAAATACCCGCTGCAAGGCATTTTCGAAAATGTTATGGTGTTCTTGCACAACCTTCCAGTAGTATGTGATGATGATGCCAAGGACCATTAGAAAACAATTGCTGCCTTTGAAACTCACAAGGGCTGTATCGTTAGATTACTGGCTGAAAAAAAGTGCCTGCATTTTATTTCAGACTGCATTGCTAATGTCACAGTATCTACAGCACAATCTAATGCTTCTTGTCCTATCCAATTTTCTGTTAATTATTCTGTCAAGAAGAAACTTGGACCTGCACCATCAGTTATGCAATTATATTATTGTAATTTCAGACAGCATGTTTTCAGAAAAAGCTTTAGCAGCTATTATAAAACAAGTTAATATTCTAGCCATTGGCATAGTCATTTTGCTTATGGTATACATTCATATAAAAAACATTTTTGTTTTTTTCTGTAGTGATGGTCAGGGCTTGTGTTAAAGCTTTTCTTCTTTAGTCCTTTCTCTCTCTCTTTTTTTTTTGCACTATGAAAATGAATCTACACCAACTAGTCTTCATCTCGATGCTTCTACAGTCCACTGGCTGTTGGGAGTTGTGCTGTCGACCTCCAGTTAAGATGTAATTTTGATAAGGCAGTTCGTAGTGTCAGAAAGACCAAATCGCTCACTGTGGGATTTTTTTTTTTTTTTACTCATAAGCACAAGATTCTTTTTCGGGCAATTATTTCAGAGAAGATAGAATGATCGTCCCGATGATCTATCCGGTGCTGTCACCACACAAATTTGCGTGCGCTGTTGTTACTTTATTTGGTAGAATCAATGGGTCTTGGCCAATGGAGTATGAAAACATCAGGGGTACTGTTTTTTTTAGTTATACGCAGGAGCACAGACTTGGAAGAATTTAGTTTCATGCACTATTTATTGCTCCACTTAAAAATACTGTTTAAGGCTGCACTAAGCAAGAATTGGTCTTCAACTGTATTAATTTCGTTAAAAATAACGCAGTCGTCTGCAAAAAGACAAATATTTACAGGGGCTTGTATGACATTTGTCATGTCATTGCAATAAATGAGGAATAATAGTGGGCCATGTACACTTCCCTTAGGGACCCCTGAGATTACCGGGAAAGAGTCAGATTGTTGTCCGTCAATGATAACACACTGTTTCCTATGCGTTAAATAAGCAGATATCCATGATAGGATGAAGCCAGAAAAACCAAGGAACTGTAATGTGCAGATTAATTTGTCATGAAGAACTACATCAAAAGCCTTTTGAAAATCTAGAAATATAACGTTCATTTGTCCACCTCTTTTAAGAACAGAAGCGAAAGAATGTATGACCGTACTCAATTGGGTGATTGTCGAAAGACCCATCCTAAAGCCATGAAAAGGAGTTAGAATGTCATACTCATTTAAGAAGTTATTAATGTAGTCCGAAACGGTATGCTCAATAATTTTGTAAGAAGATGATAAAATAGAAATCGGATGGCAATTTAAGACTGAAGATGGGTCGCCCTTTTTTAAAATCGGTACAATGCGTGCAATTTTCCAATCGGGTGGAAGTATCGCGAATTCTAGAGAGACCTGAAAGATTGTGATGAGAAATTTGCTTAGTGGTTCAGCGTAACGCCGGAGGAAGGAGTTAGGAATGCTATCAGGACTGGCGGAAGATTTCGTCTTCAATCGTAGTAGCATGTTAGCAACACCTTGTTGAGAAATATTGATATCCGAAAAAGAGGACCGTGAAATTCGAAAAGAAGGCTGAGTAGGCGGGGAGAAGACACTGTGAAAGTGAGCATGTAAAAGGTTAGCAATGCTTTTTAGGTCAGTTATTGCAGTACCATCGTGGGTAATGCTCGTTATCGATTTATTTTGCTCCTTAATAAAGTTCCAAAACTTCTGTGGATCTTCTCTTATAAAGTTAAGTAAAGTGTTGCTGAATTAAAACTTCTTTGCTTCTGTGATAGATTCCGACAGAGCTATACGAACAGTGGTTAAATTAACGGCAGCAGCTTCTTTTTTTTTCTTAATCGTTTGGCTTTACGTTTTAACTGAATGGTACGCTTGTTTATCCAAGGTGTGTGTTTAGTTGGTTTTACACGTTTGTTCGGTATGAACTGATCTATGCAGAATAAGCGCATGGCTTTAAACTTGGTCCAAAGCTCAAGGACGTCACTCGCGCGAAATTCACAAAAGCAAGATTCAGGATATTTTATTACACTGATATCGTCAGCCCGTGCAAAATCTTTCACAATCACAGGTGCATGCGTGTCAGGGGTATGTTTAACATCCAGCGAAAAATATACAGCAACAATATCATGGTCAGATAGGCCAGGCTCGACAGATACATGGTAATTAGAAAAGGAATGATCAAGAAAGACGAGATCAAGGAGCGAGTCGAGATCGGTTCCACGTCTAGTAGGCTCGCAAACTACTTGTAAAAGATTGTGGCCAAGCATCAAATTGAAAAGAATGTTTGCATCACGTACAGAACCGGCACCCAATTTGATACGATCCCAGTCAATGCCCGGTAGGTTGAAATCACCAACCACCAGAAGTTTACTTTTATTGAATTGTGAAATGTGGTCACTAATTTTTAATAAGTAATCAGGGGCTGAGTCAGGTGGCCTGTAAACGGCACATAAAACAAAGACATGACCACAAATGTCTAGTTTAACGCAGAGGCTTTCAGTGTCCTTCGATTGGATCAACAAAATTACCTGAACAGACGACTTCGCAACAATGGCCACACCACCACCCCTAGAGGTTCTATCTCGTCGAATTATTTTGTAGCCAGGTGGGATTAAGTCTTTGTCACTAACTTCATCATGTAACCAGGTTTCCATTATAACCATAACATGTGGGGAGTGCGACAAAACAACCGATTCTAATTGATTAGGTTTATTCACTATACTGCATGCCTTAATGTTCGGTGATCTAACAAGCCTTTCCTTGACTTGTCAAGTAGAATGTACATTGGCACGAAAACTAGAAGTTATCTCATGTTGGTTTGTTATTTCATTCCAGATGAATACATCATTATCAATCCAGAGCTTATCGTGCTGACGTGAAACTTTCTTTCCGAGCGATTTTCCATGCTTTGCACTTTCCCATAATAGCTTACATTTCTTCAAGGGGAATTGGGAATAGTCATTCTGAACAAAAATGTTTGATCCCTTCAGCTTCGAAACATTCTTAAAAGTCGCTACTTTCTCGTTATAAACCTGTAGAAACATTATTACTGGTTTTTTAGATCCAGTCCTTCCAAGTCTGTGAATACGGCCAATAGAGATGCACTTGACTCCTAGCCTATTTTCGAGTGTTTCAGTAATAACTTTACGCTTCAGATCAAGATCAGTTTCTGTCTCGTTTATCTCTTCAAGGATACCGCGAATAACTACGTTCGAGCGTCTACTTCTAACTTCGATATTGATAAGTTTGCTAGCGGGATTTTTCACAGACTCCTGAAACGTTTTTACCGAGTTTTCAAGACAGCCTAGGCAAGCCGTATTAGATTTCAAATCCGAGACCCAGACCTGAAGCTGCTTAAACAACTCTCACGTCTCAGCTATCATACTTTCTGTTTTAGTTTTCAAGTCAGCTAATTCATTTTGTAGCAGATTCTGATTTTCAAGAATTTTGTGCAATAGTTCAGCGTTAGTGGGTCCCAGATTTTTTTCAACATCGCCACTAAGTAACAGTTTAAGTGCACAATAACACTCATAGCAAATTTCACAACACTGTCGTGGGCACGACAGAACTAGCAAGAAGCGACAGTCGCTAGTAAACGTAGAAGAGCTAGAACAAACCTGCAAAAAGCAGAAGAACGGCTTGGTAAGTGTCGTGCTTTGGCCAGGCCCACCGTGCCCACAGAAGATAAACTGATCAACTGATGCTTTTATGCAGGTGACGCTAGATGACGTCACGTATCCAGGGGGCGTTGTAGCTTCCTTGAGATGGGTGGCAATTTCCGTTGGTTAAACATTGTTCTATGTCAATGCCTCGAAATGGTCCTTCAGCTGATGAAGGAAAGCCGGTGTTTCACCATGGGGTAGGCGAAGAAGTGACGGCCCAGCGACCCAGTGAAGCAAGCGCTGCAAAAACCAGAAGAATGGCTTGGTGAGCGACATGCTTTGGCCAGGCCCACCGTGCCCATTGCAGTGAAGCACATCTTCTTTTCCGCAGACGTGAATTTTTGCAAACCACAAGACAGTCTTTTTTTTTTTTCCTGTCCTGGCACCAGCAAGGCCCGCCATTTCTTTCACGCTTTTGGCAAAAGTGGGATCAGGTATTGCTGGAAAAAACACTCTTGGAGCTGCAAATGAGGCTACCTCTGATTACTTTCCATTATTAAAAGTTTCTAGCATCTACTTTTCGAATGTTTCATTGATTCGAAGGCCCACTTAATTTGAAGATTTTGGACAGTCCCGGTGACTTTGAATTAACAAAGTTTTACTTTATCTTGAGAGAGCCTTGTCTCATATTTATACCCTAATTAAAAGGAAATGAAATGCAAATTAGGTTTATTCAAAGAGGGCTAGGAAGGCATACACAAAACTTGAAGTGACCCCTGATAAAGTTGTCCAAAGATACATATTGGCGAAACCCATGGACAGGGGATCTTCTTTATCGCCTTGCTGCCATGATTTTGTGAAGAAAAAATTGGCAATTTAAAAAATTTTTCGCTTTAATCATGTGCATTCTGCTTTTCATGGGACACCTAAGGTTTTCATCCTAATCAAGTCTGCTACACATGCTGCCCTGTCATTTTCCTCCCAATGTGGGATGCCAGTTTGGTTGGCTGTTGACAATCAGTAGTGTGTAGAAACAAACCCAAAGCTTTTTGCGAGTAATTATTTTTGAATAATAACTTTATTTTGTATTGGAACATGCTAATGTGATGGGTAAAAGAGCTTTCCTTGCATAGATATGTCTTTGAACTTCAACTTGTGCATGTTACTTTCTCTCCCTGTTCCAGAGATATCAAAATGTTGTAAAATAGTTGAAAAATTAATAAATTGTTGCAGTTTAATTGTGCGCGCTCTATTCCACCCCCACCCCCCCATCCCACATCAGCATGTCCAGCATTTTGCTAGTAGAAATGTGGTCAATCTAAGGGAAAGAATGTGACGATTCATTGTTTGTTACTTGCAAAACTTGGTATATCGCTGAGTTTTGCTGACCATTTTTAGATGTTTAATTCCTGGGCACTAATTCTCTGTTTGATGAAGGAGAATCCTGGTAAACGTGAATGTTTTTGTATGGATATTGAATACCTACTTTGTACGAAAGAATAGAAAAAATCACGGCATGTCCACGAAGTGGATGATGATGAGTGGGCAAGCAGTGGGATTGTTCGGTGTTACCATGAAATCACCCAGAACATTTACTACTCACTCATGTAAATGAATGAATAAAAGTTTATCCAATAAAAAAATAAAAGTTTATCCAATCCAATGTAAATGAGTGACAAGGCGGTGTGCAGTTATATACAATGTTTATTGGTTTTAAAGGGTATGTTGCGTTGAGTTGTGAATTCGCGTATCGTAGGGGGTACCTTTCATGTGCTCGTATATGGCGAACAAAGCCAATGGACAAGCTTCGCCTTTAGTGAGCTTCACTCTTAATATTTTAGGGCACATTTTGTTTTGTTAGGCAACACAAATGATACCAACAGACAATTAAAGTCTAGGACAGTTTAAGGGATGTTATCTGTTGTTTGTTTGAGCTGTAGTGCAACGATTTTCACCTGATTTGAAAGGAATTAATGTGCACAAAATATCACCTTTCTTTCGGTTGGGAAACCTTGGAATTACACAAATTACTCTATGTTGAAAAAATTCTTCTGCGAATTCTCCCTGCCACATGAAAGGTTGTTAAATCTTGTGAGAGACTATTCATGAGCAAGCGCGGGAAGTATTTTTTACAGATAAATGTAGTATGTTGACAGAAATCTTTTGCTGGGTGCTATGAGCGTGTTTTCGATGGAGCACGCATGGATGGCCGTGTGCAGGTGAGAGAGGCTTCCCTGCACTGCCTTGGCATCCTTGGTCCCATGGAGTGGCACCTGCCATGCCTATCCACAGCACACTGGAACCCTATCTCGGGCATGGTGGATGAGGCAGACAAAGGCTGTCAGCACATCACCTATGCATTCATCTTTCGCAGAATGGAGCGTTACCTGAGCCATCCAGAGTGAGCATTGACCCTTCAGCATAGTTTCCAGTTTGTCATTCAAAGCAGCATTGTTGAAAGGGACGAACTCTGACAAGTACATGTGTAAATGAAAAGACTCTGAATTGTCGTAACAGATTCAAGCATTCTTCTGTAATGTGAGTGGCATTTATATTTTTAAATCGTGTTTAAAAGTCACAAAAATACTGATGTGCTGTACAACCTAGCAAAAGAGCTTTGAAGCTGATTTATTTATTTATTTTAACGTACTGCACCTTGATAGACTATCGCAGGAGTTGTTCACTTGACTGTACTTACTCTGGTGCTTTTGTGTATGCCACAATCAGTGCTCAAAATTAGAGCATGGCTATTATTATCCGTCCCAGCTCTATTAGTGCTGCTTACAAGGTAATGGGAGTGGCATGCTGAGAAGCCGCACAGCCTTCAAGGCAAATAGTGGAAAATGACGAGCCGTGGTGCGTATGTGCAAAGTGCACACATGGGTAGCAAACCATCGCACACAAACACAAAGTACTCTTGCAGCTCTTGCGCTCACCTCCCCCTGTTCGCAGAATATGTTTGGTGTATACGACTTCAGTGCCACTGCAGATCAAAACATTTGGAATATTTCCTGCTCGACACTTTCTGCATTGCCATTTCATGACGAGATGTTGTGATGGGTAAGCATTTTGTTGTGGTAAAGGAAAAAAAGATCTCATAAAGATTGGTTGTCGGTCCTTTTAACATTACAGGTTTGATCAAATTTTAGCAGTTGAGTAGTTTTGAGACTGTGGTTCACAAGAGCTAAACGAGCATTGCTTTTTGTGCAGCACCAAGCTGTCTCATGCGGCATGCCAGGCACTCAGATCTGCACTGGCTACTCCCACAGGCTTTGCCTTTGCATCACAGCACAGACACGACGATGACATGGTGGACATCTTTTCCTTGCTGCACCCTTTTGTGCCTTCACATTACGATGTAAGTCTCATTTTAGGCTTTGCTTCATGTGGGGTTTCCGTATTGGATACCTGAATGCTGAGTAATCCTAAAATAAAGAAGTTTCACCTATTCAATTATACTAAAATAAAAGTGTTTCACCTCTTAATTAGGTTTCTTCAGCTATTGTTACGAAAGTTCAACATTTTTTGCTCTAGTGCTGCAGGGAATTCCAATCATGAATGAAATTGCCTTTAACATGTTTTTCAAGTATAGCAGGTTGTCAGGTTTAGGTTGTGATTTAGGCAGTTCAGTGACTCTGGCATGAAGTTTTTGTCGCTGTTTGAAAGGTCTAACTGAAAAGGCACGTTACAATGCATGCAGTGCAACAAGATTGTATGATTTAATGTAGCCGCACGAAAAGGCTGATTTAAAATTCATAAAACAGTTTGTAGACGTTGGGGAAAGGGTGTGATGAAATGGCCACTTAAGTCTTACAACCTTTACCTAAACTGCTTTCTATTAGTATTGTGAATGGTAAATTTTATGTTTGAAGCAAACAGTTATATGGTTCAATTAATTTTAAATTGAATATGAATGGTTATGTATTGCATATTATAGAAAAAATTGGCATATATGTAGCATTTTTTAGCATTTCTTTAAGGTGTATTCACAACATAGCACCACCTTGCTTCAGTTGATACACTTTTACAAGGGGATTACATGCGGACTAATACACCCCTATTTGTACATTTCGAATACTTTGAAATCTCAAATAATTTAAATTCATATCGAAATAGATTTGAATACTTTAATATTCATTGAAATATTTACACACTCCTACTTTCCATATGTTAGCCTCACACTAGTACCTGTAAGGGTTGCACTTGACAGATGTGTAGTTCGATGAGAAATTCTTGATGAACAGGGGCGTCTCTGAAGCCAATGTTCTGACAAGCGGTCTTGTCTTCTTTAAGACAGCAACTTAGCACATCTATGTTGTCATGTTGGTTAGGCAGGTGTGAGGACATCCATCGCTATTGAGAGAAGGTATGAGGCGCCTCCTGGATGTGGTGGCAGAGGGCGATATTGTAGCCGGCGCCGCGCTCACTCCATCAAGTCATCAGCCACATTCGCCAAAGCCTTCAAACTTAAGAAGGTAGACCCTGCTACCAAGTCTTGCAGCTGGGGGTGCATCTGGCGCAGCATTCTGTCGACCTTGACGTCATCGACAACCTCCTCTCTAATTTGGGCGTAAAACTCTGAGATAACATATATGAATTCTTTCAAGTTTTCCTCGGGATGTTGGATGCGTACCTCTAATTCATCTTTCAGCCGCTTATTTTCGTCGGCTGACGCGAATTCCTGACGAAAAGCTGCGACAAAGTCATCCCACGTGGTGAAGGGTCCGGCGAAGCGATGCCACAACTTTGCGCTGCCGTCAAGCGCCGCGATAACGACGCAGCGAACTCGGTCTTCCGTAGGTATACCATTGTTCAGACAAAAGTTGTCTACTTTGATGAGGGATTCTTCTGGCGTCTGTACATCCCTGAACCCCGCGAACCTCAGCAGCGTGGTCGTAATGGGCGATGTCACAGTCATTAGCGTAGCCGGCGCCGGCGGTCAAACAAAGGCCTGTTGGCGTTTGCTGCTCACGGGTATCATGGGAGCGACCATTAGCGCTTGCCGCAGCTCGGCAGCTAGGCGTTCATCTTCAATAGCAGATCCATTAGTCTGCCTCAGCATAAACTGCACAAATTCGTCATGGATTTCAGTCGGCTCCATCCCGACTAAACACCCACTTGTCATGTTGGTTAGGCCTCACTCCCTAGTCCCCACGACTGCATACGTCCTAGCACAACACCGTCTGTTCATACATTGCCCACACAGGTCCGATGTCCGCTGTTGCCACCTCATCCATGGGGCGCCGCATACTCCCTTCAATACCGATGGATGTCCTCGAAATGTGCATGCCTCAAACACATGCCAACCTAATAAAATGCTAGGTTGGGAGCGTTGATTCATTCTGGAATAGATTCGAGTGCGAAAGGACAAGGCTTTTAAAGGGAAGACGACTTTCTAAAGGGAAGACGAGTTCACAAGCTCTATCTTTGCTAATCGTTGAGCAACTTCGTCAGCCTTCCGCCTTCAAAGTAGATAATGCGGCACACCCTCTGTGCATGGTTCAGTGAAACTTTCACCAAACCAAATAGTTCAAGTTCCTCATTGAGGACCAGTTCTTTTCGGAGGCAGTAGCCAGTGAACCTGATGCGACACAATGGGACGGCTACGTGGCTTACCAAAAAAAGCTGGTTCGCTGACATGCAAAGGAACATAAAAGAAATAGTGCCCGCTGTAGAAAAAAGACAACTTAATAAAATGCTTTGTTTGGCATGTTGGTTCATTCTGGAATAGACCTGAGTGCAAAAAGATGAAAAGCAACAAGAGAAGATGACTACATGAGTGCTCTGTAAGATGTAGTCGTCTTCTCTTCTTGTGGCTTGTCCTTTTCGCACTCAATTCAACTCTCCCAACCACAAAGGTAGAGCGGAAGAGCAAGGGCAAAAATGGGAGATGAGGAGGGGCCGCAGAGGAGAAGATAAGACTGGAGGGCATGTTGAGATAAGCTGGTGTGCCGAATTTAGTTAGTAAAGGGGAAAAAAATTAATTAAAGAAAAGGAGGGTGTGCACACTGCTTGTGTCGGAGACTGTTTTTTGTACCAAAGGTAGAAGGTGGGGAGCACTCCGTTAAGTCAAGAATGTGCTGAGTTAGCTGCTGCTAAATATGATAGTTTCATGGTTATTAAGGCTGCTAGAAATTCGTAGATAAAAGGCTGAAGTCTCACTAGTTTTTGTTGTGTACAGTCGAATCTCGAAAATTCGAACTCGAAGGGGCCCTAAAATTTGTTCAAATTGAAAGAAGTTCGAATTAATGAAAGCTAAATAAACGGAGGGCTCTTCATGCAGTGGCGGATGTGCATTTGAGCTAACACACGAGGGGTAAGTTTCAGAATATTTACATTTATTCACAAATCACAGGACATCCGTTATTAATTGAAGTAATCGGTGATGCGCGTCTGCACACGTTTGCCTTGTGGCGAGTCAATAAATTTCGCACGCAGCTTACATAGCATTTCTACTTCGTCTTCAGCATTCTCCTGGCAAGAGAAGTTGCGCGCAGAAATGTATACCGCCGGCACTTTCTAAAGACGACGACAACGACTGCGTAGCGGAGCCTCCCGCTCTCCGCTACGCAGCCGCTGCATGGCCAGCACGGGACCAGAAAGGAGGAGCGTCTCCACGCGGAGAGAAGCAGATCGGCATTTGAGAGAAAACCAAAACTCCACGGCAGCTTTTTTTTGTTTTGTTTTTTACTCTCTTCGCGCTCGTTGTTGAAAGGAGAAGGATTACGTGGCAGGGACAGGAAAGGGGAAAGCATGGCACCGGCACGTGAGAGACCCCTCCCCCCTCACGGCGCAGAGCCGTGCTCCAGCAAGGGAAAAGGGCTGCAGAAGATAGTGCCTTTTTTTTCCTCTCTCTCTCTCTTGCGTGCGGGGTTGCAAGGAGAAGGGTCTTTACGTGGCAGGGACGGAAAAGGGAGAAGCATGACACAGGTGCGTCGTAGATCGGCATTTGAGGGAGAGCAAACATTCTACTGCAGCCTTTTCTTTCCTTTTCATTTCTTTCGCGCGCAGCGTTGAAGTGTCGCAGGTGCCGCCACAGGATAGTGTGGGGTGCTGCGAGCATTTTTGGAGCATGGTATATTCGAATTAATCGTCGGAAGTGCTTGGGCGTTCGAATTACCGACGTTTTCACCCATGCGAATACACATAGCTTTGACAGGACCTCATCATGAGTTCGAAGTAACGGTGTTTGAATTATTGAGATTCGACTGTATCATCTGTCATGCTCATTCGTGTTCGTTAGGCCTCACTCCTCGAACCACCCGCCACTCACGTCCAACCACAACACCGTCCGCGCACACACTACCCGCACACAGGCCGGATGTCCACTGTTGCCACCATGCCCAGGGGGCGCCACATACCCCCATCACTACCAATGGATGTCCTCACAGCCCGTCCCCCCTTGAAGCGTGAAGCTCCCCGCTGACCTTGGAGGATGGTATTTGACGAGCTGGTCGGCATGGGCCTCGCCACAAGCTCTCCCAGTCTGTGGGTGGACGAGCTTGAAAGTGTTTGCACCAATACGTCTGCAGATGCGGAATGGACCATTTTGCCTTGGTGCCAGCTTTGATGAGATGCCTCTTGCAGCGTCACTGACTATGTGGGTTCAGTTTCAGTTTATTCATTCATTCAAAATACCAGCAGGAGTGTTGGCCTTACCATCAATAATCAGCAGGAGTGTTGGCCTTACCACGACGGTGCTTAATTTTGCACTGAAACCCTTGAAGGCGTAGCACCCAGCGCCGCACATGAGGAGATGCCTGCTCAGTGGTGAACATCCAAGCCAATGACGTATGATCACAGTGCACTTCGAATTCTGATTCCAAATAAGATCGAAATTTCTCTACAGCCCATACGACGGCCAAACACTCCCACTCCTGGACTGTGTAATTATGCTCCGCATCCGACAAGCCTCTGCTGATGAATGAAATTGGCTTCAAAATGTTATCCCGACGTTGCAGCAGCACTGCGGCGATACCAACACTGCTGGCATCTGTTTCAACTACAAATGGTGCATTGAGGTCTGGCAAGCTCAGAACTGCATCTGTTGCCAGCCTTGCTCGGAGAGTCGCAAATGACTGTTCTTCAATGCTCGTCCACTGCCATTTCTGTTGCGTCTTGAGCAAGTTGGTTAAGGGCTTAGCAGTGAGGGAAAATTGTGGAATAAAGTTCCTGTAATATCCAGCTAAGTCCAGAAATGCCAGCAGTTGCTTCATGTTAGATGGCCGTGGGTACTCTGCCACTGCATGCACCTTCTCTGGGTCTGGTCGGCACTCTCCTGGAGATACAACGTGACCAAGGAAGGTGAGGGATTGAGTGCATTGTTGTACTTTGGTTGGATTAATTGTAAGCCCTGCA